CCCCCCCCCCCCCCCCCCATTTTTAATTTGTCACTTAAAGCAGTGGGTGAAAGCATGTTGTTTGCTTTGACTTGTGCTGAGTCCTTTGAGGATCATTAGATTCCAGCACCTATTTTTGTTAGCCTCTTGTTTGCGAGTGTCTGTCTGAATAATGAGAATTAACTTTCTTGAATGAAAAAAACGCTGACTGAGAGACAACAAAATGCTCTCAAGCTGTATTCTTTCAGCTAGGACTAGTGAGCTTGCAGGTAGAAGAGGCGTAAAACTACTGAGTTCTGTCAGTGCATCGCTGAAAGGGGTATCATGGGAATTCAAGCTTTATTCCAAATGGCAGTTATAAGAAGCAGCACTGACCAACTTCAGTTTCTTTTCTGTTCTGGGTTGCAGCTCTAATTCTTGCTGATTTGAGGCGTTTGTCAAAAACTCCGGTCTGCCTATTACTTGTCCTGCTTTGGGACTGTTGCAGTTTATTTGTTGTTGTTTTTTTTAATGGTTATGCCTGTTTGAGCTCACGTGCTTTTTGAGATCTTCTGGTGCAAACTGGATCAACTGAAATATAGATTAAATTTGTGGAAGGTGTTTTTTCTTGTATTCTACAAGGTTGTAGAAAAATGAGCCACAGCTGCAAACTTGGTTTTGTTGCAGTGCTTCCCTGTTCTGGCCCAAGTCTTGAGAAGGCTAGGATTTTTTTAGCGTGAACTATTAATTAAGTGCTTCAGCAGATATTTCAGCATCCTAAGTGGCCAGCACCCTGGCACTAATGATCAGGGTGTTACCTTCTTCCTTTGCCATATAGACAGTCACAGAGAATACCTCTTTTAGTGCTGCTTATATCTCTTTGTATTCACGGCTGACTTGTTTCCTCATCTATAGCAGTGTGACTTTGTACAATAGAGAGAGCTCAGAAATCTTCTGCAGATGGCAAGGACTGCAGTACATCTTTCTGGTTACCTGGCACTTGCATTTGATTTATTGCCTAGATGACACTGGAAACCTCCTCGTGGATGATCTGTTCTGTATTGACGATCTGCATTGTACTGAAATGAGAAAAGAACCTGGGAGTAAACATTAGTAACCTCTTAACCAGTTTGTAAGGATAATTGAATCTGCTGTCTGTTAGTGTTTAACAAGGGTGTGTGCTTCTAATCAACACATCTGGTCTCTATGAGTGCAGAGTAACTGAAAGCAAAGATTTGTGAATACCGTGTAAGTTTTGGTAAAAATCCACCCGTTCCAGTGTTACTGTAGCAAAATACACCCTCTTGTGGTAAGAGAAAAAAATCTAAGCATTCCCGTGTTCCTCTTCTACACACTGATCTGCTTGTTAGTGCTTTCCTTCGCTCGTTCTTGTCACTCTTCCATTATTTGTGCTGCATGTTATTCCAGCTTGTCTTCCTTTCTCCCTTTATATTCTTTCTCCATTTCCTTGATAGTATTTGAATCTCTGTTACTTTTATGATCCCTAAAATACGCTTCTTTCCATACTGGTTTTTAATAGTTCTTTGCTTGCTTTTATGCTTTTTGATGTTTGCATTCGCTAAACTAACAAATACAACTTGAGGTATACTTTGAAACTTTCTGCTGATCTGTGACAGGTTGCTGGATTACAGGAGTAAAAAGGCCAGGTGCAGAGACGAGAATGTTTTGAAGAAAGATTCATTGTGTGTGTCTGCTTCAACAGTATCTCTGCCCAGTTTATCTGAACTGCGCTGAATCTTGAAGGAACTAACAGGGGCTGTGTATAGGCTGGACTAGCCCATGGCATGCAGCTTTTCTTTCGTAGTTGATAATCCACTTAGGGTTGGAAAAAACGCTAGAGAAGTTGGACCAAGAAAGGACAGTTTTACCTTCAGACAGGAAATAAAGGCCCTACAGCAAGCTTTGCAGTCTATCATATTTGTCGCACAAATATATAGAAACCACAATCAGTGGTATAAATAATCCAGGAAGGTACTTCAGCTGGGAATCTTTTTGCTATTAGCACCAATGCCAGGCAAAGCATTTCTCAATAAGATTAAGTAAAGCAAACCAAGCATGAAATAAAATATGGGATAAGTGACAAGTAAATACTATTTATTGCTTGCTGTGTGCGCCAAATACAAAAATTTGGTACTGTGTCCAGAGACAGAACGTGTACATAGCAGTAGAAACTATAACAAGTAACAGGTGAGACCATAGGCAAAACTCATTAATGTCCTGTCCATGCAAAGGAAAATATTTGCTAAAATTTTGTGCAAACCTTTATAATATTTTTAAAAATCCCCAATTTTCAGTTAAAAAAAAGTAACCCCAAATCCACATTTTTGTGACTAAAATGAAGCACTGCTATCTATCTATCTATCTATCTATCTTAGTGGTGTTTCATTTAAATCCTGGAAAAATGTGGATTTGGAGTTACTTTCTTTTAACCAAAAATTGGGGATTTTTTTTTAAATTGGAGAAAACCAGGATCCCTGGTAATGAGTAGGGGTCTGCTTAACTCGTGGCAACACAAAGCAGGTTTTGCGGCCTGAGGAGCCTATTTCGCAGGCATTTCCCAGCAACCAGGATCCCTGGTAATGAGTAGGGGTCTTAAAAGGTGGTGAAAAAACAGTTTATGTCAGTAGCAGATGGTAACTTTCAGTCATATGATCTATAGCTGCAGCGATAGTCATGTTGTCCTCATATTGTAGTAAGCATTGGGACTTTCTAAAAGAGCGTATTCTATGAGTAATATGCTGGGGAAGTTTTTAGGTTAATTTTGTGGGAAATCACGACCAATGTAATATTTTCTGGCGATTGCAGCCAATGCTGTTTTTCACAGTTTCTGCGAAAACCCCAAAACTCAAATTAAGTAGACCCCTAGTAATGAGCTGATTGGTTTATCTAGGCTGAGGCAGCAGTGAGCACAGTTGGACAGCAGCTTTTGGTTAAGGACATGACTCGGAAAAAGGACCTAACTTGTTTGAGGAAGAGAATGCTGTAGCAGGTGGCAGATTTACTTGGCTAATGATTGCTTAGCAATGCAGCATTTCATAAGGTCCTTGCATGTGAACTAAGCAAAAGAAGTGATACCAGTACAATATCCAAAGTGGATGTATGGAGTGGTTATATAAATGTGCAGAGTTTTGATAGGTGGAATGAATTATTTCAAAAGCAGCTCTTAATTTTCTTTGCGTTTACATTTCTAGGTATCTTGCAATATATTCAGAACTCTCCCACCTAGTGACAGCAATGAATTTGACCCAGAAGAAGATGAACCCACCCTTGAGGCATCATGGCCACATTTACAGGTATTTAACACTTTTATCTGAGATCAGATTTAGATCACTGCCTGACATGTGTGGTGTTTCTGTGCGTCTTTTATTAATCTATGAATCAGGTGGAAATGTGTTCATACAGTACAGTAACAGAATCATTATTTTACCTGCCCGTTGTTGTTATTTGCTACAACTGGGTTACCCATGAAAACAGAAGAAATCTTTGTGCAGTTTTCAGTGTCTTCCTAACTTAAGGAATTACATTCAGCACAGGATTGAGGGTTTCCCACATGTTCCTATTTTCTTCCAGTTGATTAAAAAATATTCCCATGTGGAGAGTTGCATACTTGCTGCTCCTTGACACAGCATTTTCCAGCAGCTTTAGCAGGAATGGAGTGAAACCAATGTCATGCTTTGCTCAGCTGAGGCCTGGGAAAGTTGCCCATCTTTGCTCTTCAAGAGTTGCTCTTCCCTCTGCCTTATACTTTCATTGCGGGATATGTTAGTGTGTCTTTAACCATTAATGTCAAATATATTTGAACAGAGAAAACAACCTCATGTTATAGAGTGGGCCAAGATCATTAATAGCTGCTATATCAAATGAATCTGTTGCAAAACTAGATATAGCTCCCAGGGATATCAGTGAGGGCCATGACTTACACCAGAAGCAAATTTAGAATAAGTTAGAGTTGTAACATCAGGAAGAGGAGTCTGAGAATTTCTGTAAATGTAGGAATATAACCGGTCTCTCTCTAAACGGAAGAACTGGTTTGAAACACTCTTATGCATGGTCCCAGGTCTACCTGGGAGAGATGGAGTAGGCTGAACAATTATTCCTCCATGAAGTAGAAACTTACGCATTAGGTCTCCTCCCTCATTTATAATTAAATCATACAAAAATAGTTTTCTATATTAAAACCCTTAGGGAAGATCTGTACTGTTCTACCCTGCATGTCTTTTCATCTTATCCTCGTTGCTTCCATTGCTGTAGTTCACATAAGTCATTCACATGAACAAATGGTCGTATTTTGTATTAAATTGGCCCTTCACCTCTGTGGTAGTAAAACGAACCTGTGTAGTTGTCAGAGGGCTGATAGCACTTTGTCACCCCTTGACATAGTGCAGAATTAAATAGAGTAATAATTCTTTCCTTCCAGTTTGCTCCTTCCTTTCCCTTTTTTGTTTGTTTTTATAAGAAACCACTGAATGAAAGCAGGGTGTGTAGAATACCTGGATACAGAGGAGATTGCACAGAAAGACTTCAGCTTTTTAAACTTTATTTTTAGCTTGCATTTTATTTTCAGTGCCAACATTTGTTACAAAAGCTAGAAAAGGAACATGTTTTAAAATGGTGGGTCTCCAAGGAAAAGTTCGAGAGAAATAATTGGTACAAGTCTGCTGAGGAGGTCAGTCTCAAGTCTTTCCTAGGAGGGCTTGAGAGTGTCTCTTCTGTTTTGCTTTCTTTTTGCTTTTGGTTACATGCTGCACAAATGATTTGGTCATTTGCTTTTCCCCTCAATTATATGGGCAGAGATGGTTTTGCCTGAGAGCCCCAGGGTTGGAGAACACTTATTTGCTGACCCATTCCATCAAGTTGGGAATTCTTCGTTAAATCCCATTCTGTGTTCAGCATCTCTTTTTCAGGTTACAGTGGGATGCTGCTCAGAACAGTTTATAATTACAATGACATGTTTCCAAACTGTCAGCAACTCTTAAAATAATAATTGCTTTATTTCGTATGAATTCAGAAGTCCAGAGGGCCTTAGATTGTACTTGTCAGCTACTCCAGAAAATTTTACAAGCCAATGAGCAAACATGGCAAATGCTTGTTTTTAGTAGGAGCCAAAATGAAATTCCCCTAGCTTAACGTTAAATGATCAGGACTAATTTGTTAGGTTCATGTAATTGTTTCTAGCTTTTGGGTAACTGGCCAATCGAAAAAAACCTTTTATGTAAAGTCCTTGAAAACAGACGTTTGTTGTGCCAAGGAATTAAGAAAGCAGAGGAAAATTTACAAATGCAAAAAAAAAAAAAAAAAATCAAATAATACACTAAATTGTGACTTTGTTTCTTGCAGCTTGTATATGAGTTTTTCATACGATTTTTGGAAAGCCAAGAATTCCAACCCAGCATTGCCAAAAAGTACATAGATCAAAAATTTGTATTACAGGTAAGCAGATGAAGGTAAGCCCCCAATGGAAGGGAGGGGCCATCACCAGGGAGGATTATACTGCAGTTGCTCAGGGATGCAGGGGGGCGGTCAGGAAGGCCAAGGCAGAGATGGAACTGGGACTAGCTTCCCGGATCAAAGACAACAAGAAGTCCTTTTTTAAATACACAGGGG